TGATAACTTAAAATGTTCCTAGATAGATACTTCATACATTCCCTGTTAATGGATGTTTACAGCTATTTCTTCTCATTTTTGAGTTTGCTCCATCTGCAAATGCAGGTCCCAAAGTCTTACTTCATTTGCATCATCATGGTCAACTCTACTCTGAGGAGGCAACTCATCCCCTGTGGTCTTTTGAGTGCCTTCCAACCTAAGGGTCTCATCCTACAGCACTTTATCCGACAGTATTTCTGTTACTGTTCATCATGTCCCAATATTCAGTAATCTGATACTGACATTGTTCCACTGCTATTCATAAGATTGTCAGTGACTAAATATTCAAAAGCAGTCCACCTCTCCTTCTTCCTAGTTTGTCTTAGTCTGGAAATTCAGCTGAAATCTGTCCACCAAGGGTGTGCCCCACTGGTATATAAAATACCAGTGACATAGTTTCTAGCATCACAGTAAGCCCCCACAGTTCAACAAGTTGACAGATGTGGTAGAAAATCGATCACTGTTTTTGTTGTTAGGTGCCATTGAGTCAGTAATGACTCATAGTGAACCTATGCACAGCAGAATGAAACACTACCTGATCGTGCCCCCACCTCATAATCATTTCTATGCTTGAGCCCATTGCTGCTACCGCTGTATCGATCTATCTCATTTGGGGGTCTTCCTCTTGTTCTCTGAGCCTCCACTTTAGCAAGCATGATGTCCTGCTCCAGGGACTGGTCCCTCCTGATAATATGTCCAAACCAAGTCTGGCCATCCTGGCTTCCAAAAGGCATTCTGGCCATACTTCCAACACAAATTTTTTTGTTCTTTTGGCACTCCATGATACTTTTAATATTTTTCCCCAACACTATAACTCAAATGTCTTAATTCTTTTATGGTCTTCAAACTGATCATAGAAGCATCTCAATCATTCCCTGATATATGGCTTCCCACTGCACTGAGAAAAAAGCTAGAGCTGTTCTTTACTGGTCATCAAGGTCCTAAATGATTTTGTTTACATTGACTTCATCTTCTCTTCTAACACTGTGGAGTCCTTGCTCATTCCATTTCAACATCATTGCTGTTTTTCTGGAATCAAATAATAATTCTTGAATTGGAGAAAAATGGATTCCTGTCACATTTACTCAGGACTTTATAGCTACAGTCAGTGTTCTTAATTCAGTCCTTACAAAAACCCTACTCAGAGGATATGTGTCCCATTATAAAGATTTTGAATGTCAAAGAGAATCATGGACAATGTGATCATCAGAGTTGAATCTCAAACTTATGAATTCTGGTTACCATTCGGAAGAAAAGGAAAATATTTATCTTAATGATATGCAAAATGTGGATAAGAGTAATAAATGAAAGCTTATTTCAAATATGAAAGCCTGGATTAATGGTGAAATGCTGGTGACAAGAAATCTATATATGCAAAAACCTGGAAAGAAGTATAAAAGGACAGCTAGTCTGGTTAGCTTCTCCTTAGACGTTGCACCAGGACAGATGGTTTCTATTTATGGCTCTCCAACAACTTAACTGTGTGAATTTGGATGAATCACTTCAGTTCTCCAATGTTCAGATTTCATCTGTAAAAGAGGGAGGACATTTCTGTACGCTTGGATTACCCTACAGTCTCTTAGATATGTCACCAAAAGCATAAAGTATTTATAAAGAAAAATTTTTAAATATTAATAAATTAAAAGATAAATAAAAGACTTGGAGAAAATATTTACAGATCTCATATTGATAAAGAACTTGTATCATCTGTATGCCTTCTTCGTTCTGCTATGGGTCGGTACTGACTCCATGGCACCTAACAACAACAACATGCCTTCTTCTGTTCAAATATTTTGCCCACATTTTAAATTGATTCATTTATTTTCTTATTACTGAGTTCTGAGATACTATTAGAAAAAAAGAAAAATAAATAAATAAATAAAAAACTAGAGGGACTTATTCTTCCCCTATGCTCCGGTAGCGTACTGGATTACAAGCTAGGCTGCTAACTGAAGGGTCACTAGTTCAAATCTACCAGTTGCTCTTTGGGTAAAGACAAGGCTTTTGACCCCTTTGAGGAGTTACAGCCTCTGAAACCCTATACAGTGTTGCTATGAGTCGGAACCAACTTGGTGGCACGCAACCACTACCAATGACCATGGTTTAAAAGGATTCTTTAGAAAATACACAAAAGCATGCTACATAAAACAAGAAAATAGATAATTTGGAATTCATCAAAACTTAAATCTTGTATTCTGTGTTTCACTGAGAAAAGAGAGAAAAGTACAACCAGGAGAAGAACAAAAAGGAAGGAGGGAAGAAAGGGAGACTTAGAAGATATGAAAGAAATGCCATAGATTGACCCCCTAATGAGTCAAACTTTTGTATAATCCCTTCCCCTAGAGTGTGTACAGAACTATGACCTGCTTTTAGCCAATAGAATATAGCAAATAGAGATGAAGAGTCTTCAAAAAGTTCATGGAAAAATGAAATTGAAAGATACTTGGATTTTTTTCCATGAACTTTTGAAATCCCCTTATTCCAACCTTTGATTTTATCACATTGTGGCAAAAGTGAAAGGTTTTTTCCAATATTATTAAAACTTTTTCATAAATTAAAAGGAAGATTATCTTAGGTGCACCTGGCTTAATCAGATGAACACTTTAACTTTGCTGAAGTTAATGTTCTAAAACATAAATCTGTTGATGCTTGTACAACTGAAATATTTACCCCAAACTCACCAAATATACATTTAAAGGGGGTGAATTTTACTCTCTTTAATTTTGTCTCAATGATTTTTTAAAATCAAGGTTAAAATGTCTCCTTGCTAAAAATATACTAATGGAAATTTTTAGATTCAAGATAGGGTTGTGAGATGGAAGCTATTTCCTTAAAATTTGCAAACCAAACTAGTGGGGTAGGTACCTATTTGTCACAGTAATTGTTAGGAGGCAAAACAGAAAATTGATTCAAATGTCACACATTTTTTTTTAACTTAATGCCTTTTCTGGATAGAACCCTATGACTTTATAATCTAATTAGGCTCCCCTTCCCTGGAATTTTATAGATATTGAAAAATGAAATAAATGTGAAGATTCAACTCTTTAACCATTTAATCCTTTCCAGGTTCATTGGAGGTATTGGGTAAATAAAGTACTGCCTATGGCTTCTGTTAGCGTAGTGGTTACGAATCGGGCTGCGAACCTTAAGGTCAGCGGTTCGAAACTACCAGCCTCTCCGCGGGAGAAAGATGAGGCTTTCTACTCCTGTAAAGATTTACACCCTCGGAAACCCTGTACAGGGTCGCTATGGGTCGGAACCGACTCGATGGCACTTCAACAACAACAATGGCTTCTGTGGACTATTTGGAATCCTGGTGTGGCACTGTAGGATGAGCACTGGAATGCTAACCACAAGGTCTATGGTTCAAATTCCCAGCTGCTTCTCAGAAACCCTGTATATGAGTCTAAACCAACTTGATGGGCCGTAACAACAGCTACATGGCTTCTTCAGCACCAAACAGGGAGTTAAGTAGTTTCAACAGGGACTGTAGACCAGCAAAGCCCAAAATATTTACCATTAGGCCCTTTAGAGAATGCAGTTGTTAATCTTCAGCTTGAATAAAATAGAGCTTACTCTTTCTATACTTGTATATTCTAAAAAGAATTGAGAAAAAAGATAAGAACTACTTTTACACATTTACCAGTGTGTACAAGTAGTTCTTATCCATTTTTATAGTATTGCTATAAAAACATAGAAACCATTATTAAACTAAAATAGTAAACTGTGAATCTATTGGTTTTCAACATATCCTCCACCTAGCTCTATACCGTTTGAAGGTGGTGTTTCCATCTCGCTAACTCTTCCCTGAAGAATTCTACACTTTTCAATTTATAACCCATCAAAATGGCAGTTTGGGCATCCTTGAGATACTCTCAACAAGTTCCTTTCAAAGTCAGTTGAATTTTAGGAACAAAAAGGAGTCTGAAAGGGCACGATCAGGACTGGTAAAAGGTTTCCCAACAAAATTCTCATAGGACAGCAATTATTAGCTTATCTCCACTTACTTTTTCAAAGAATGAGTTGATGCATATTCGTGGTGGGGAAAAAAAAAAAAAAATTCCCCAGCACAATTTTCCTAACCTTGGTCTTTACCAATGCAGCTTTCAATTAAAAAAAAAAAAATTGTTTAAAATAAATCCCATGATCATCCTGTATACTTTAAGAATGTCTAGCAAGAATATCCCTTTGGAATCCATCAAAAAGAGTTGCCATTGCCTATTGAGTTTAATTTAACTGGCCAAATGATAGCCTCAGAATCAATGGTTTTAATTAGACTTTTCTTTTCTTTTCTTTTTTTCCTGGAACTCTAATGAGACTTAGAAGGATCTCTGGTAGCGTAGTGGTTACGAACTGGGCTGCGAACCTCAAGGTCAGCAGTTTGAAACTACCAGCTGTTCCGTGGAAGAAAGACGAGGCTTTCTGCTCCTGTAAAGATTTATAGCCTCAGAAACCCTGAACAGGTCGCTATGAGTTGGTTCCGACTGCACGGCACATAACCACCACCACCAATAAGACTTAGATAAGCATATTTCTGAGAGTACTTGTCTGCAGCCATCCACTGATTAAAGATAATGTTTAAAGACATTTTGTTTGGATTGAACCTGTACATGTATGAATAGGAAGTCTAACAGCAATACTTTGTGACTTATCCTTGTTTGTTATGTTGTTAAGTGCTTTCAAGTCTGTACCAACTCATAGCAAACCTATATAGTGTTCCTGAGGAGTGGCTGGTGGGTTTCAACTGCCAATCTTATGCTTAGCAACAGTCCAGTGCTTACCCTATAGCATCACACCCAGATTCCATGTATTAGGAAATTTAATAAATAATATTTGTAAACTCTAGTTTCACTAACATGCTACCATTCCATTCCTTAAATTTTTAAAAAAAGTATTCAATCAGTAACTTTATCTGACTACATTCAGTGGTATTTTTACTTTTGTCTGTCTGTATGTCCCAGGTTTTATTGGCTCATGAACCTAAATGCAACGGTTGTCTTTCTGGGAATATCTTACATCCAGTACTCAGGAAGTTGGACCCTCATTTTATTTATTCCTTTTATGTCTACACTTATGGCTCTGATAACTCTTCATATGATGTACTCTAAAGTGATTCATCAGCCGGAAAAATGTAAGTAAACTATACTTTACAGTAATTTTTCTATTTTTATAGTCTTCTTGTCAAGTCTCCTTCCTCTTTAATTTCCTATTCATAGAATTTATAGATTCTGCCAATTATCACACTTCATAGCAACAGAATATCCATAATCTCTACTTTCTTTAATTTTTTCTCTGTTAAATGTTGTAATCATAGAATATTTCAACATATACAAAAAAATAAAGTTATATGGGGTACCTTAAAAAATTCATGGAAAAATAGAATGAAAAGATAATGGAATTTTTCCATGAACTTTTTGAAATTGCATTTTATAGAAACCCACGTAACTATTCTTAGCTTCATCAATTAGTTCATCTCCACTCACTTGTTCCCCATCTTGTTCTGGATAATTTTTAAACTGAATAGTATATAATTTCATTTGAAAGATATACGTTTACTTATTATGTATTGTTGTTGTTAAGTGCTGTCAAGTCAGCTCTGACTCATAACGACTCTGTGTAACATTTCCAAGGAGTGGCTGATGAATTTGAACCACCGACCTTGCGGTTGAAAACCAACCTTGCAGTTCAAAACAAGTTTGCATCCAGTGCTTATCCTACAGCATCAATAAAAGTTGGTTGTTTTTTTTTTTTTTTTTTTTTTACAAAGCATAACCCAAAGTCATTGTAACACCTAAATACACATGCACATGCACACATATGCATATACATCCATACATCCCTTTACCATCAAGTTAATTATGACTCATAGTGGCCCTCCAGGACAGAGAACAGTTCCACAGTGTTTCCAAGGATGTAAATCTTTATGGAAACAAACTGTCATAGGTTTCTCTCATGGAATGGCTGCTGGGTTTGAACTGCTGATCTTTCAATTAGCAGTTGAGTGCTTTAAACAATGTGCCACCAGGGCTGCTTAATGTGTGTGCGTGTGTAGAAAACTATTCAATCATACTGTCAAATATCTGGTCACTAATAAATATCCCTGATTATTTCTGTTTTGGGTGCTTTTGTTTTGTTTTATAGCCTATTCAAATCATATGCAAATAAGACAGATATATAGCCTTTGAGCTATACACATCCCCACCTTTCTCTCTGTTTTTTCTTTTCTCAATTTATTATATTTAAATGAAATATGGATTTTTTTCTCTCTTTTTTTGTTGTTTAACTTTTTACTGTGAATTGAGTGAAGGCTTACAGACAAATTATCAGTTTTACATTCAATAAAATCATACACTTTGTTTCATCTCAATAATCACAATCTCCATGCAACAACAGTTATCCCACTTCCTCTCTGTGGTTCCTATTTCCATTAAACCCTCCTTTCTATTCCTTCTGAACTTTGACCTTAGGTAAAACATTGCCCTTTTGATTTTGAATGATTGACATTCTATGGTGAGCATGCTTTATTAGTGCTGTTATCCCTCCTATATACCTGTCTACTGCTTGGCTGAAAATTGAGTCATGTGGGATGGCTGGCAATGGAATAGACAGGCGTACATTTTGTCCGAGCTGCGCGGCGGTTGCGGCATTCCCAGCACTCCAAAATCCCTACTATAGGTGGAGGAGGTTCTGGGGCAGCAGAGAGATGTACTGTCGGATACCAGGGCTGCTTAACAGGACAGATGACTAGCGATTAAGATAGAAGCTGAGTCAGACTAGGAGCTCCACGGTGGAGTCCTCCAGCCCTGCAGAGTGGGAGGCGTGCCTGCTGCTCGTTTGCCGAAAGGCTTGGCTTGCTGGTCCAGGCCCCTCAGTGTCTACATAGGAAGCACCTTTTCCCCCCGGAAGTCATTCCTTGATCAGAGATTTTTGTTTAGTGTTGTACCTTCTGCACGGCTGCTGAACTTCTCCTTCCCAGCCACTGGCTGCCAGAAACTCATTGAAGTGGACGATGACTGCAAGCTTCGTATCGTTTATGAGACACGAATGGGCACAGAAGTTGCTGCTGACTCACTGAGTGACGAGTGGAAGGGTTATGTTGTCCGCATCAATGGTGGGAACGACACACAGGGTTTTCCCATGAAGCAGTGCGTCTTGACCCATGGCCGTGTCTGCCTGCTTCTGAGTAAGGGGCATTCCTGTTATAGACCAAGGAGAACTGGAGAAAGAAAGTGCAAATCTCTCCGGGGTTGCATTGTGGATGCCAACTTGAGTGTTCTCAACTTGGTCATTGTAAAAAAGAAGGCGAGAAACATATCCCAGGACTGACAGATAACAACTGTGCCTTGTCGCCTGGGGCCCAAGAGAGCTAGCAAACTTTTCAGTCTCTCTAAAAAAGCTGATGCCTGCCAGTATGTTGTAAGAGAGACACTAAAAAAAGAAGGCAAGAAACCCAGGACCAAAGCGCCCAAGATTCAGCATCTTGTTATTCCACGTGTCCTACAACACAAATGTCGTTGTATTGCTCTGAAGAAACAATGCACTAAGAAAAATAAGGAGGAGGCTGCAGGATGTGCCAAGCTTTAGGCCAAGACTATGAAGGAAGCCAAAGAAAAACGTCAGGAACAGATTTCCAAGAGACAGACGCTGTCCTTTCTGAGAGCTTCTACCTCCATGTCGGAATCCAGTCAAAAATAAGAGATTTCTATGTGTGACAAATAAATACACTCATTAAAAAAAAAAAAAAAAAAAAAGGGTCATTTGGGTGAGTTCTTTTACAGGCTTGAAGTGTAGTCAAGATCACAGTCTTGGGTTCCTCCCATCTCTTTCTGACCAATAAATCCAGTCTTTTTGTTGTGGTTTTATATATATATATATAAAATTTTGATTTTTTCCCACATTTTCTCCCACTCTATCCAGGACCTTCTAATGAGATCCTTTTTAGAATAGTTGGTAGTGGTAGTTGGGCACCATCTAGTTCTTCTGGTCTCAGAGTCATGAAGACTGATGTTCACAGGTTCCATGAGTCCTTTAGAGAAATCTGGACATTTTCATGCGGCATTCCCCACCATCTGGGTTTTGCTGAATGTATCTGTAGTATAGCCTAATAGGTTTCCCTCTTCCTTACAGTTCCTATAAGCTGTCAGTTAGACCTAGGTACTAATTCAGATTTTGGGGGGGCAAATTCTTTCATAAATGACATTCTGTTCTTTCTATCCAGCGGCATAATGTCTGATTATCTGCAATTCTGCAGTGTCAGCATCCATTGATGATTATCACCTAAATCCACTACTCTATTGGGAGTTGCAAAATGGTAATAGCTTGTTTCTTCTTGTTTTATTAGTTTAAATCATTCAAAAAGAGAAATATCTCCTCATCAGCTATTTAGAGGAACAGTTTATATAGGTGAGATAAATGCTTTATCCCCTGTATTTACAGATGAAAAGATGATTAATTAGATTAGGGCTATTAAAAAACTATTATTATGAACTAATGAAATATCTTTGTGTTGTATCAATCTGTAATAGTTATTGAATCTCAAATTTTCTTATATTTGGACAGTCAGGCTGTCTTCACTGATGCCTTCTAGTTGTCTTCAATAGCTTTCTTGTTTTCTGCCACATTCTATGTTCATCATTTCCCCCCCTGAACTTGGAATTATCTGCTTCTCCAAAGAGTATTGTTTCCTTTCAGAAAATAATGGAATTTAGAGACTATAATCTTAGCAATGAGGATACTTGTTACTACTTAGTCTGTCATTGTATACAGGTATTTTCAATTCACAAAGCTGGAAATTTCTCTTTTTCAAAGATAACATATATTATGAATCACACCAATGCCCTAATCAAATTTGTTACTACAGAGTTTTTACTTAACCTCATCAATTATATCTTTTTTTTCAACTGGCCCTTGGTTACCCTTAAGATATGGAAAGGAACTCATGCTCATGACCCAAGTTTCAGCCAAGCAACAGATAGATATTTGGGGGGACAGCAATACTAATAAGGTATGCTCACCATGGAATGGTCAATCATTCAGGATCAAAAGCAACATTTATCTAATTACAAAGTTGAGAAGAGATGGGAAGGTATGTGGAATGGACTTAGGATGCACAGGGAGGAAATGGGATCATTCCTGTTGTGGTACTGTAGGATAAGCACTGGGCCACAAGGTCAGCAGTTCAAAGCCACCAGCCACTCCTGAGAAACCTTATCAGTGTCGCTATGAGTCAAAATTGACTCGATGACACATAACAACATTATTGTATGGAGGGAATTGTAATCATTGAAATGAAACAAAGTGTGTGATTTGTTGAATGTAAAACTGATGATTTCGTCTGTAAACCATCATTCAATTCACAATAAAAAGTTTTTAAGAAAAATTCCAATTCTCAATAACAATATGATTACATACTTGGTTTATTCTAAAGGGCTTTCTTAACAGTCTCAGTTTAGTGGATCATCAAATCAGCCTCCAACTTCTCCTAAGGGATTGTTTTTGCTCTTCTCTTGCTGGTCCTCTTGGGGCTGTGGGAATCTGCATGTACAGGCAGTTTAAACACAGAACTGGAAAATCGTATGACCTGGCCAGATAAAGACTAGCCATGAAGATTTTAAATCCCATACAATTAAAATAAAGGAAATAAAGTAATTCAAGTACAAACCATACTCTTTTCTATAGAAATGGCCCTTCCTTTTTGAGGAACTCTGGTCATTTGTCTGTTAACAAAGTCATTGTGTTTATAATAGGTTTGTAGTAAAGCACTGAAACACTGTATACCTTGTATCTGAAACTGAATGAATGAAGAAGTGTTTTGGGGGGTTTGCATGTATATGGATGTAGGTGGGGTGAGTAGCTCTACTCTTTTTATCTATATAAAATAATGAGGGGCCCTAAAGCTCTGGTAGCGTAGTGGTTACAAATTGGGTTGTGAACCTCAAGGTCAACAGTTTGAAACTACCAGCTGTTCTGTGGGAGAAAGATGAGGCTTTCTGCTCCTATAAAGATTCACAGCCTCAGAAACCATGTACAGGGTCGCTATGAGTTGGAACCAACTTCATGGCACATAACAACAACAAACAAGCCTTAATAAGAGTTGAAAATATCTAAATGAGTTTTGAATTAATTAATTTA